AACAAATGGTAAAAATCCAAAGGCCTTATCTACAGAATGGAGAGTATGAAATACAGGGAATGCTATAGTGAAAAATGAAACAGAGCTACATATTATCAACATAGATGAACCTCAAGAAAAAAAAACACTAACCCGAGAACAGACACATTTTATGAAATGTTTTAAATATCCAAAGCAATGCTACATATACTGCTGAAGGTTACATCGTATGTATGAAAGTATAAAGATCTGCAGGAGAATGATAAACACCAAGTCTAGGAAGGCGGTTATCCATGGAGGGCAGGGAGTGGCTGAACAGACTACCCTGGGGACCACGGTTCGAACGGGAGGCCTCCAGTCTGAGAATTCAGGTCACCAGGCACCCGCCCGATCTGCTGGGCTGCTCTGTAGAAACTGAGTTTGGCTGCCCGGAGGGCAGACTCCCGCCTCCCTGCTACCTGCAGGTGACCACCTAGCCTGGTTTGTGTTCCAGCCCAGGAATTGTGTTCAGCACACATATTTGTAAGTCAACTTAATTTTGTTTTATTAAAATTATAGCATCTTTGAAATGAAAGACCCCAGGAGATATTACAAAGTCAAGGACAGAGAAGGGTGGCTGTGCTGGTGGGACTAGGACATGGACAGACACAAGATGGTTTTTGCTCACAGTGTAGCAGCGAACCTTACAGTACTCACTACACCCAGGCCCTGACACACTTGCTGCAACCCAATTAAACAGAAATGATTACTAACCCCGCTTTCCAGATGAGGAAGCAGTTTCAGTAACTTGTCCAAAGCTGTAACAGCTGCTGTCAGCAACATGACAAACCATTCCACACGACCATCTCAGTTCCATCATAAAGAATTACAAATTCCACCAGAAATGAAATTTGGATAGATTATTATTCAGTGCACACAGGCCATTATGCAAGGCATAATTCAGGTTATTTTCTGGAACTTCATGGAACAAAAAGTAAAGCAGTTCGTGATGGGGGCTCAAATGTTGGCCAAATTTTAGTTTCAGGTAATACCTAATAAGCTTAGTAATCAATGCAGGTAAAGGCTATTTACTGTCCCAGGTACTGAAGGGAGGACCCGCCCTGACTCCAGGAGATCACAAACAGTTGCACCTTCCTGCCTCAGGAGGACTGTAAGCCTCACGATGGTATCTGAGCCATCGTCCCCCAGGGGGAGATGACCGCCGCCCAGGGCGAGAATGCTGGGCAGTGGTCAATCCAATTAACTTCTCCCTGAATTCCAAACCCCTTACCTCCATTTTTCTTCTCCTTATAAAAAGGGCCACTTTAAAATGGAATTGAATACAGTCTGTTAGGGTGCAAAGCTGCCTCTTCTCAGATCCCCATCCATCTGAGTAAAGCCCCCGTAAAGATTCGATCCCCGTCCCTGCTGACTGGCTCTGGTAGGTGACAGGCAGCAAGAATGCCTGCCTTTCCTGTTTTGTAAGTACTTCTGCAGCAGCCAAAATCTTCTATCCTTATCACTATATTTATCATTGTTTTAAAATGGTTAAAAAAATAAAAATAAATAACAGGCAATATAATTAGCATTCTCTTCTGCTGATTTACAGAAAATCTAGAACTTCCCTGTGGTGCTGGCAGGACGGAACAGGACCCAGAGCAAGGCCTGGAGCCTGGCACCCAGTCTGCCCGGATGCCCGTGGTGGAAGGCTGCCTCCAAAACCTCGGCACCGAGTGGCCTGGTGTTGGCCGTGAGAGCTTCCCATGCCTTCTTAGACAGGTTCCCTGGCCAACACCACCCTGTCCACACTTACTCTTTCCCATTGTCAAGTGCCAGCTGGCCATTCCAGTTTCAGTTAAGTTCAAGTTCTCCTTCACCAATCTAGAAAAATCCAGACCACTCAACTCTCCCATACCCTTCAACTCTCATAGGAAGTACTAGATACAACCAGTCAAATGTAAAGCACTTACCAAATACTTAATTGGTTAATACAAATAAACCCTTCATAAATTACATGATTTACAGACTAAAACTGACTACTGACTGAAAACAGATAATTCATCCAAAACTCCTGGCAGGTGAGAAATGGAACTCTGTTGATATTCAGCAAAGTATGACATAAATTCCTGTCCTGCATCATAAAGAGCGTAGCTAGCAAATGAATATGTATTTGTACATAATAACACGGTCCAGCACCCCTGGGGGGCCTCCCAGCCTGTGCCGCCACACACACGCTTTACACACATCGCCTCACCAACACGGGCTAGCAGCCTGCTTCCGCCCGAGGAGTAGCCCAACACCACTGCCTTACTGCACGTATGATTCCTTTACAAAAGTTCAAAAACAGTAGTTACATCTTCACACCTATGGTGCTAAACTAAGACTAATTAACAGTTGTTCCCTTTGGGGCAAGTGAAACAGGGCAGTGAATGGAAAGGCGGAGGGGACTCTGGACGCTGCTAATGCTCTTTTCCTTGACCCTGGGGGCCGCACACAGTGCAAACGTTCACCCTGCGTAACTCACCAAGTCGGACCTCAAATGTGCATGTTTCCTATAGGTAGGTTACAACTCAGTATGTCTGTAAAAAAGTTACGGAAGGTCGGCGTTACTGGAAGGCTGTGGAAAGAGCGAGCACTGTCAGGAGTCCTGGGTTCTGACGCGACTTCTCCAGTAAAGGGCCTACGATTCGGGGGAGTCTCTTTTCCGGGGCCTCGGTGTCTTCATTCCTCACAAAGAGGTGAGATTAGCTTCTCTCCAAGCACCCTATCACTTCCCTTTCTTTCTGAGGTAGGGAAATGGCAGGGACTACTGGAGAGGCAGAAAACAACTCAGAAGCAAGTGTCTCTATCATGAGGATGTCATTCGAACACAAACCGTAAAGCTTCTGCACATTCCAAGGGACAATGTGCTGTACGGCAGGGCCGTGCTGGAAGGGCAAGTTCCAAGCACCTCCCGGGAGCAGATGATCGCTGCAGTCACGACATACCTTCATTAACAACACTGATGTTACTAAAAATTTTAGAAATAACACTTCCTAAAAGGCACAGTGGGGCCAGAGCTGTCAAAGTCAGTCAGCATCTATACACTGTTATCAGCATGACCTTGGCATAGCCCTACAGGCCTGGCAGCAAGGTTAGAACATGGCAATTATAACACATTCCCATTTACCCAAGTATTCAAGGAAGCGGACCTCTTGGCTTCCTTAATATTCCGGTACACCATCTTCCTGTACATACCAGAAAAGGATTCTACATTTCCAAAGAATCAATTGTGTCCATTTAGGATGATTTGAGGGCAAATGATTCGAGGATTCTTCTGCTTAAAAGATTTTATTTATTTTTAGAGAGAGGGGAAGAGAGGGAGAAAGGGAAACATCGGACCTGCAAGAGATACATCGATGGGTTGCCTCTCACAGGCCCCACACTGGGGACCTGGCCTGCAACCCGGGCCTGTGCCCTGACTGGGAATCAAACTGGCAACTTTTCGGGTTCACAGTCTGCCGCTCAATCCGATGAGCCACACAAGCCGAGACAATTCAGGATTCTAAAGGTCTTGTGAGGAGTGACTCACTAAGAACAATCATTTGATACTGGGGGAAAAAATGTCCTCAATTGTTCTCAATCAGTAGAGAAAACTTAGGGACTAGCATTAGTTTATTACACCGACCATGGAATAAAAAGCAGTTATCAATCCCAGCAAGAAATAAATTTCTTCAGGAACTATAAAACCAAAAATCTTTCTTTATAAGCAGATCACCTTTCATAGTCTAAAGTAAAACACGTTTAAGAGCTTGGTTTAAGGTTAAGACACACTCTTTAGAATTGCTGAAGGCGAACACGAGGAAAAATATCTTAAACCTATTTCATCTAGAAGTATCTTCTTAATTCTTTGTTGTTTCATCAACTCTCATCCATTTTGTCACTGTTTATTAAAACGCAGATGGCTGCATGATAATCAGAATGGGGATTATTAGCCCCTAAACTATACAGCTAATAAACAAAAGTTGTCGAGGTGGGCCATGAAGACTAGGTTTATTTCCCTCAGTGGGCAGCTATCTGACAACACCCAAAGATGGGGTCCTCTCTGCACTTACATTAAATTCTGGCTCGTGACTATCAAACTACAGAACTTAAGATTAAGTACTCAACCTCACTCCTTTCCCTTTACCTCGACGATTTAAATGCGCTTAAGGTGTGAAGGCAAGAATTAGGGGAAAGAGAAGGTCGCAACGACATGGGGAGGGCACAGGGCCCCTTCTAACCCCAGGAAGACAGTGTAGTTTCCTCCGCGTTTGCCTTCCTCGCCTGTGGTGATTTTTACAACCAGTACTATTTCGGGGCAATAAATAGATGTAAGAATACTCTTGTGCACAGCTACGTCTTACCTACTTACACTTTCCCCAAATGTAGGCCACTGCTAAAACCGGCCAATGGCTATGCAAAGACATTTTAAAGTAGGTGAAATGAGGGCTCCATTGCAAAACCATCAGGATCGCAAAACCCCGTATCATCTTCAAGATGTAGGCTCAAGAGTACATATATATGCAAAGATAAACATCAACAATGATCGTATAGTGTACTTTTATGCTCCCTGCAACCTCAATACTTTTAAAAACTGGGGAAACTGGGGCCAAGGGCCAAAGTGCGTCCAGCTGGATGGGGCTCCATTCCATCTCAATCACGTGAGCCCAGCAAAGCGCAGCTGCTGCGGGGAACACCCTACGGCTCACCCTCAGAGCTGGAAGGGCAGGGTGGGGGCAAGGCCCCAACTCGAGCCCTGAGGGAGCGGCCGCCCGCCTCACCCAGACACCCCAGGTCCCAAGCGGCCGGCCCGGGGGCTTCTCCGCCTGTCACCCAGGCAAGTGCCGCAGCCCCTCCGCCGCGGAACAGGTACCGGCGCTGCGCACACGCCTGCGCAGTGCACGGCCCTCGCCAACCCCGAAGGGGGGCGAAGGAGCGAGGCCCCATACGGCCCGCTCCGGGACGCGCAGGCCGCGTTCTCCGGCAGACGGCCTCCCCAGGCTGCGGATCCCAAGGCTTACCCGCGCCCAGAAGGCTGGCCAGGACGAAGAACGAGTACATGGCGCTGCCGGACCCAAAGTCTGCAATGCAGAGGGTCAGCTGATCCTTCACAGATATAAACCTGCACCCCCCCCCACCCCGAAGCGGTCTACTGCGCAGGCGCAAGCTCCACCCAGACCGGCCCAGCCGGTGCCCAGCCAGAGCCCCGCAGCCTGACTCAGCGCTGCACAAGGCGCGTGCGCGAGACATTGGTGGCGGCGGGGCGGGGCGGAACGGAGCTGGGTGACCGGGGCGGGCTGGAGGAAGGACAGGGGTGGGGAGAACCTGTCGTGGAAGGTTAGGCAGAAGCAGTCAAAATGGAAACTAATAATTGAATAAATCAGCGTTTGGAATTATATATAAAATATCTTCTAAGTCTCTCATTTTTCTTAGGGGTCACCATTTTCTATTATCGGTACCCTTTTATAGAAGATAATCCATGCTCAAAAAGGTTAACCGACTTGGAGTGCTCAGAGTTGGAATTCGAACTCACCACTCAACCCACACTGTCTCCTAGATGATGTTTGTAGTATACACCTGGCGGGGGCAACGTGTAGCTTCATTCTGGGCCCTGTGTTCCCTCTTAATATTATACATTTATAATCACTTTTCTTTTCCATGACTCCCAGACAGGCTTTTCGGTATTAAATACACTCCATCCTAAGGTCCTACCATGGTCTGTCCGTGGACTTGGAGGGCATGGAGGAAAGGGATTGAAGAGTAACATGGAGAATAGTAAGTGTCTCCGCCATTGGAGAAGGGAACACGAAGTGAAGTCTGAAGTTGAGACCCCTGCTAAAACTTGGCCAGAGGCCTTGTTGAGGAAAAAAGAGACTCCACCCTGTCCAGCCCTCCACCCCCACCCCCAGGGACAAGTACCTACCAGCCCCAGGGAAGGAAAGGAGGAAAATACCAGCAATAGGGCAAACCCTTAAAGGTCAGTTAGACCCATTCCATCATTGTGCCAAAGAGGAAGCAGGCCTAGAGGGGGAAAGACATTTATCAGGGTCACAGCTGATGTGTTCAGGTCAAACCCCAGGATTCCATCCACTCCTACAATCTGTAACCTCTCTTAGGAACAGCTCACTGACAGGTTTCAGAGTCTCTGGCTCTCCTCTTCCCCCACCACCCCCACATTGCGGCTTTTAGTTCCCACTGGGGGGCTGGATGGGGAAGTACATAGCACCACAGTGGGCGATATGAAAGGACCGAGCAAAGTTGGGACCAGGTTTAGTCTAAACAGGATACCTCACTGGTTGGCCTCAATGGCCGGATGGAGACTGCATGGCTGCCCCATCTGCAGGCTTTCTGAATCATGAGGCAGACCACCCGACAGCCAGATAAACACAAGGGAGTTGAGGCTCTAAGATACAGGCTCATCCCAGCTCCTTGCTGAAGGAGCAGGCAAAAGGTCCCTGAGTTTCATGCAGAGGTAATGAGAAGACTCCAAGCCAAAAGAGGCTTAGAGATCTTCAGGTCACATGCTCTCATTTTGGTGGAGTTACTGAGCTTTCAGAGCGACTTAATGACAGAACCTGAACCAACCACGACTGTTTTAATACCCACCCACACCCCTATCTAGAGCAGTATGTCAGTGTTTTTGAGATGAACCTTCACTGCCTTTCATTTACGTACCTGGAACACAACAGTTATACGTTCCTTCATCCACCTCCTTCCCTACAGGGCAGAATTTTCATAAAGAATAGAAAAGCAACATGTACAAGTTCTGTCCAAAAAGTATCCAGGCATGTAATGCAAAATAGAGACATTTATTGACAAAGATACAAGAAACATTGTACATAGGACAATGACACCTCAGTTCCCTTCAAAGTAGGTACCTTGGGGCCTCACACAGCTCTCCCAATTGCCTTTAGCTGACCTGTCACATTTTCCTGAATCTCACCGACATTCTGAAATCTCTTCCCTTTCAAAGGTGATTTTAGTTTTGGGAAGAGCCAGAAGTCACAGGTCACCAAATCTGGGCTGTAGTGGGGCTGAATCACCTGGGTGATTTTTGATGTTTCACCAAAAATTTCTGCATGAGACGTGAAGCTGCCAATCCCCAGTTGCCCATACCTGCAGCCTTCTGAATTATCCCAATAGTTTCTGCAGAGGACTGTTCAAGCTTAACGAAAAATTTGATGCAGATTCATTGTTCTACTTTCTCAGTCATTTCAAATGGGATGACCACACAAATTCGCATGCTCACTCAATGGCATCCACAGCCCCCACTGACTAGTACAGTGAAGTCGTCATTGTTCACACATGCGCATTCCAGTCCATTCTCCTTGGCTGCTTGGTTACATGGATGTTGTGTAAATTGTTCTCATTATGTTAACAGTGGTTTGACTTTTTCCAGACAGAATATATATATATATATATATATATATATATATATATATATATGTATATATGTGTGTGTGTACATATATACATTCTATAGAGAGAGAGGATTTGTATGTGTGTGTGTGTGTGTACACACACATACACACACACACACACAGTAAGGAGGTCGTCATAACTTTTTACCAAGTCAGTAGGTGCTTAAATACTCTTAAAATACCCTCCTAAGCATCTATGCATAAGCAACAAGATCCATGAAGCTATTTGGACCCTTTGATCCTGTCATACTATTCCTAGTTATAGACCCTCCAAGGAAATAATCCAGAGCTAAGGATTATTTTCTCCAAAGAGTTCATGGAAGAGCCCTGTATAGCAGTAGACACTGGAATGATTCCCAAATGGTAAACAGTGATGGGCCAAGAAAACCAGCCTGGACTAAACAATGACACTCAAGCACCTTTGGAGCGTGAAGCAGAAGCAGCAGGTGCTGAGGGAACCACAACCCCCCACCCCCGGGTCCCTCAGAGGGTACCAGACACTCAGTGAGAAGAGGAACAGAGGAATAGAGGCGGGGAGAGAGTGTGCTGACTTTGAGTCAACTTGTCTTTGCACTATGTCACTCATTACAATATCCATGTTACTTTGTACTTTTTAAAGAAAATAATTACAGGAAAATTTACAAAAGAAAAGAACATCCCCTTTATTTTCTCCTGTGGGCTCAGGTTTTCAGGGAACTGAAAAGATAATGTTTCCTCAGAAACATGAGCCACACCGAAGATCTGGCAGAGTTCCCGATGGCTTTCCAGATCTAGCCCCAGTTCCTCATGAGGCCCCCCTCCCAGTGTCTGACATCTCTTGAAACCCCCACCTACCAGCTCCCCTTGATACTCCCCTTGCTGACTCCAGAGGGCTTCCGTTTGTTACCGTTTCTGCAACTGACACGTGGCCCAGACAGCTGGCGGAACAGAGGCACGCACTGTGAGAGCCCAGGATACCTGCTCGGCGCCAAAGCGCCACTGCGGCTCCTCCAACTCTGGCCGACCCACCCCAGCACTTCGTCCTGCCCTGGAAAGGCAACCCCCATCCCCAAGCAACAAGCTCAGGCGCCTCTCCCTCTCTCCTCTTCCTCATCAAGACTTCCGGCCTCGGCCTCCCTGCTCCCCTGTCTGTATTCGCCCTTCTGCCTAGTCTGGACCCCTCAGGCAACCACTCCATTAAGTCTCGGCCCCTTGGGAGGCCCTCTCCCCATAAAACTTCAGTCACCCCACCAGTCAGCTCCCAGCTTCTGATTTCTTCTTTCTGCCTCCCCCAGCCCTGGGTTGCCGGAGAAGCAACCGTGCCATCCAGCCTGCCCAAGCCCTCTGTGCTACTCAGCACCTATTTCACCCTCCCATGTGGCTTAGTCTGCTATCGCCTCCTAGTATCATTCACCTCTCTTCCTTTGATCTTGATAGTTAGTAATCAAACCCTCTGTTTCTGGCTGGGCACATGGCCACTCAGAATAAATACTACATTTCCCAACCTCCCTTGCACCCACAGGACTTCATTCTGGTCAATGAGATAAAAGAATAAGTTCCAGTTTTGTGATCTAGGTACTGTTCTTAAAAAGGAAGAGACACATCCAGTGTGTGTATTTCACAAATAGTACTGACAGGACACTGGCCATATTGCTGAAGGAATGTTCTGGAAGGTCCCCACTGAGCCAGGTGTTTGCCTTGGAAGGGTGGGTGGTCCCTGGAGATGAGCGTCCATGAGTCAGCTGCTATTTACCAGCTGGTATAAAAGTATTTCAATTATTTTACCACTGATACAACTCTACTGATCTGTACCAGCTAAGTGTCAGTCCTGCCTACAAACTTTTTTCTTCTTTATGCTGCTTGGGTTGAAGACTAATGGCAGGAGCTCAAGCATCCATCCTGGACCATGAGGTAGAAACCTTGTTGAGGATGACAGAGAAACAAGGCAACAGCCTGATCCTTGATGATTGTATCTGCTCTAGACACTCCACCTCCAGACTTTGTGTGAACACACCCACATCTTATTTAAGCTCACTCTACAGCAAACTTAACTGTCATAGAAAACTCAAACCAAACATTTCAGATCTTCTTGATAATGCTCAAGCCTTGGCCTCATCTTTACCTATATCACTTCCTATCTGATCTCTTCCCTTCTGCCTCTGACGAGGAACTGCCTTTTCTTCTCTTTGTGAGACTCAATTTTAGCTGCTAAACCCTCCTGTGCTTTTGCCGATCAGTGCCTGAGACCTCCAGCCAGAACTGATACTCTGTTCATTCTTTTCGTTCATTGCCCATGATGCACCGGTTGTTAAATATTCTTAATATCATCCCTCCAGTACTTCGCTCCATCAACTCCCCTCTCCTTTTTGTATCTTCAGTCTCCCCCTTGCCTCTGACTCTTCCTCTGCAGATGAGAAATACACCCAGTGTTCTCACATCTCAAAAGAAATCTTTGCTCACCCCTGACTTTGTCTTAAACTAGTGAGCTTTCTCCACCCTTCTCTTCACTGTGATACTCCTTGAAACAGTCACCTACACTCACCATACCTCCTCCTGTCCCTCCGCACTAACCCTAGCCCAGTCTACCATGACACTGAATGGCTTTTTGAAATTACCTAGTGATTCTTACACGGAAAGTCCTTCTCATTCCCTCCAGTCTGACGCTGGGTCTGCTTCTCCTTCCTACAACACTGCCGCCCAGTTTGGCACCAGCGACACAGCTCCACTCTGCA